AAGAAACTGCAAGAAACAACTGCACTAACTAACTTAAAGATGTAAATCCATTTGCAGGATATGAAAAGGCAGTTCCAACATATTTCTGATGTCAAACAAGATTACGCTCGGACATGTTAATCATAGTTTTCAGTAATAAACAAGGAGGGTCTGGCTCGCAGATCATGTGACCACCAACAAGTTGTGACTGTGTAACAACCAGCCAATATTTAATGTTTTTATTTAACCTTTATTTAACCAGGAGAGTCCCATTGAGATTAAGAACCTCTTTTTCAAGGGAGTCCTGGACCAATAACATCTAATAACATATAAATACTGCTAGTTTTTTTTTTCTTATCTTCCATTTCTGATTTTCAATCAAATGTGTTCCAGCAAGCAAAGAAATGGCCCCACGTGAGGTTTTTAGGTGGGATATAATTTTAGCCCAGTTTGTAAAACCATAATGGTTTTACAGACGGTGGTTCTGAATGGGTTCTACGTGGGGGTCACAAGGGACCCGTGGAGGCCCAAGCAGCAATCATTGAACAAAAAAAATAATAATAATTTATTATTATTCATAAATAGTTGTTTATTTTACTACATTAATTGATATTTTTTTCAAAATTGTTCCTGTTTTACCTTAAAAGAACAGCCAAAAGAGTGAAATCTAGGTCACAATAATGAATTTAGTTCCCGGTGCATTCTGTGGACTGAATGCTGACACAACTTTTTGATCTCTTCATGTTCCCATAGGATAGAAAATAGATGGAACAAAAGTAAACTTGGAAATCAAATTGTTGAACCATAACTAAACCTCTACATAAACACATAACCAAAAAGGCATCTGCCTCATCTCAAGCAGCAATCTTTTGCAAGCTGCGTTGAAAACTCTGCAATAATCCAATTTACATGGAGCAGCCAAGTCATGTGTGAAAGAGTGAAGAAAGCATCCTTGCTCTGGAGTTTGACAACAGTGGAGCCTGACCGCTTATGAGTCATGTTGTGAAGAGCATGAAAGTGATTTGTTGAGGTGTCGGAATTATTTTAATCTGCAAAAGATCAAAAAGAGGATATGCCATAACACAGATTCCAGCTCTGATGTTCCTGTCACCATTTTTGTAACATCATGAGCAGCAATTACCACTAAACAAGGAGGTTAATACCAGCGCCTTCTCCACGCTACATGCTACCTACTGATTGTAATCTTTTTGTTCCTTATTTTCATTTGATTGTAATTATTTCATGCATAAATTTCAATGCGGATTGCACCCAAATTACCATACAGAACAAGAATAATTAAAATCAAACAGTGATGCTTATAGCATGTAACATTTTTCTGAATATTTTATAACACTCCCCTCAAAGCTAAATTTGTTGATATGAAACTGTTTCATTTAAGAATTTAAATGATCAAAGACAAGGCTATTGCAAGTACAGAGCAGGGATTTCTCAGTACTTATCTCAGCATTGCATTTAAAAATTTCTGCCCATGAAATAAAATAAATTTTCTCAATATCACTGTTTTTACCTTACACAAAACGCAAACCATGAGTTATAGACAGGTTCTAGAACACGCCTCATCTTTTTTTCTGACTCTGATTATCCTCAAGTCCATCCATCACAGTTTGTCTATTCATACAGGTCAATCATGTCAATCTGCTCTTTCTGATTTGACCTTAAGCTTGTGCTTCATGGTTTGGCTTCAGACTTAAGACATCCATTAATCACCTGTATCATCCTGTGAAATGTCTTGTTTCTTCTTGGTCCTTGTTTAACTTCACTCTAAACCTAAACTATTGTAATCTACATTATTATCAGAAATGTTTTCTGCTGTGGCCGACAATTTAAACGTAAAACAGTTTCCAGATTAAATATGTCCATTGAAAATTATGTGCGAACATCTGACTGAACCAACACACTTTGAAAGAAGTAAAACTAAGCAGTTAGAAATGCAACATGCAACATCACAATCCTGCTCAATCCAGGACTGCAGTGATATGAATGCAAGAACAAATGTATTTATACTGATATCAGCTCTCTCTTTGATTAAAGTCCCATTCTGTTGTTATTGCACTGCCACATTTAGTCAGCTTTGTAAATAGATTGATGTCATCAAACTGTCCTTCATATGCTCCATCTGTGGACTCTCCTCAGCACTGAACTCTGGGAAAGTGATGCTGATGCCTTGTGTGAAGTATACAGCAGTGAGACAGCTCTGACTGGGGTTGTCTCTGCTGTGTTAGGCTGCCTGCACTCATTAGATTCTGGAGATTGACACAGACCATTCCACTTCACCCCCCCCCCCCCCCCCCCCCCCCTCTTTCCCCTTTTAGCCCATATGAACCTCCAAGAGCATGAGCAGGGTGTGAGCCATAATGAATCACTATTAGCCCTGGTCACACTGGCTGACAACCAATTTACAAGGGGCCGCAGACTCTGACAGGCAGGTAAATGTGTATAACTCCTCCAAGCTTCTGCCTGTGTGAGTCGCTCACATTTTAGGCATGTTCACATAATCTTTAAGGTTGAAGAAATTAACTCAAAATAACGTCTGGTCTGGTCTGGTCCAAACAAGAACTTTTCCTGCCAGTGCTGCATTCCAGGGCCTGCGTAGTATGAAAATGAAGGAATAGACCAAACAGTAGGTGGATACACAGTGACATCTAGTGGTAAAGTTGCAAATTGCACCAATCTTGTTTCACTTTCTATGTTGAAAACTTAAAAAATCGGTTTCCTTTAATTAAATGTTTTAAAAACCGATATGAATCAGTCCAATGGCTGAATAGATCATACATCGTATATCAGTATATTCACTTCGTAACACCAACGCAGAATTTATATAGACTCGATTGAGGCGAAGAATACTGCCAAAGTAATACAGAGTAGCCAGTCATCTAGGGCAGTGTTTTTCAACCACTGTGCCGCGGCACACTAGTGTGCCGTATGATATTGTCTGGTGTGCCGTGAGAAATTCGTCTACTTTGTCTAAAAATAGCTGCATTCGCTGTTGACGAGCGGTGACTTGTTTTGAACTGTGAGTAACCATGTAATACTTTTTCAAATCAGTAGATGGCAGCAGATAGCTAAGTACTTTGAAACTGAAAAATTGGATGCGACCACTGGCTGTAACAGGTCAGCATTGTGGCGAGAAAGGTAAAATTGGATGCGACCAACAAGAGCGAGACAAGAGCTTTGTGGCGAGTGAGAAGTGAAAGTGATAGAGACGTTTTTGAAAATGAATTATGCCGTTTCTGAACAGGATTAACATCCTCCGCTCTGCCCCGGGGCAGCTGTGGCCGCGTTGTAGTGGTTTAACTATGAAATGTACGATTTTTGTACAACAGCTCTCGCGAACGCACTTCTGAACTGGGTACCGAGCGCAGACCATAGTCGAGTGGACAGAACCACAGACATGCGGACCGGACAGAACCATGGACTCGCGTTCAGGACCTCCCGTGTCCCTCATCCAAAACTCCTGAATTTAAAGCTCGGATACCTAAATGTTTCCCATGCACTAACAATGCATGTTCTTTGTGTGAGTTATTATTTGACTATTTGGGCAGAGAGTGGATTTTCTTAGTTTTTTTCCACACAGTTAGTGCCACTTTATTCCCAAACTCTTGTTAATTGTATCGAGAAATATTAAATAAAGCTTAATGTCAAGGCCTGGACTTAAGCATTTTGATGAGAATAACTGTATATTGTGAATATAGGCTACAGAGTATACTGTATACATTATAAGATAAGATATACTTTATATATCACACAGAGTATGTACAGTATATATTTTTTTACATTAGTACTGTATACATTTTTACATTTTCTCCTGGAGGTGTGCCGCAAGATTTTTTCAGTGAAAAAAGTGTGCCTTGGCTCAAAAAAGGTTGAAAAACACTGATCTAGGGCTCTGATTAATCATTTAATTTGTAATGTTTTCTTTGTTAATAGTTTTCTGATGTAGCCTTGACCTACTCACTGTGAATCAAGACAAAAAGGCAGGTGAACTGAAATTGGCAAACATGAATGCATAATAGGGCTGCACGATATTAGAAATTAGAGCGATATTTGATATGAGTATTGCAATAACGATATTATTGCGATATTTTGTCTGTCACCTAAAATTGCAATCTGTTTGAAACGCTAGAGTCAAATAATAGAAAATAAGCATTAAACATTAATGACTTTCAAATGCATATATTTATATACTTTTTTGTTTGTTTGTTTGTTTTTGTTGTTCCTGTTGAATGTTGATGTGTCTGTGTTTTATTGTCTTTAATAAAGTTTTTTTTTTTTTATTGCGCATCTTTTCAATATGGATACTGGACATTTTTTTTATATATTGTGCAGCCCTAATGCATTAGCCTTTGTAAGACTTATCTTTCAAACACAGATGTAGCGCTTAGATAGGATAATGGATGAGGCCAGAACAAAAGTTGGTGAATGACATTTGAACTTGACTCCACAAAGAGGAGCACACACGTCACACACGTTAAACCGTGGATCCTGAGCACAGGCCTTCCCTTCATACATACTGTATACAGTACAGGCCTGACAAGCTGCGTGCGCAGGATACTCCTCTAGATGAAGCTCTCCCAGAGCCTATGACTTGTGGGTAACTTTTGTCCTGAACTTTAATGAGTGCCCACACAGTAACTCCTATTATCAAAATCATCTTAACTTTCATTTAACAATGTTGTGAGATAACAATGAGATAACAGCTAAAGTTAGAGTCATCTCAAAGTAGCTCCGCCCCCTCTGTGACGTCACAGACCCGGAAGTGCCCCGCGTAAACATCAGCAGTTTATTTTCCAGCAGGTTTGTGTCCTACAGTATCATCATGCCATGACAACTCAAAAGAATAGTTTATTTACTTTAGCTGTTGTATCGGCCATGGCACATGCCCATGACTGTAACGGTTGATCGGTTGTATTAGCATTAGTGGCTCTTTTAGTGCTGTGCTCGGACATAGCTAACGCTAGCTGCTTTCATTTTCAATTAGTGAAAGGAAAGTTACAGAGGAAATGGCGGGCAGAGTGTCTCTTTCAGAGGTAGACATTTCATGTCCAATATGCTGTGACGTCTTTAACAACCCGGTGGTACTCAAATGCAGCCATAGTTTCTGTGAGTCGTGCCTGCAGCAGCACTGGGCTCAGCACTGGAGCAGGCGGGACTGTCCCATGTGCAGAGAGGTGAGCTCCGAGGAGCCTGTGCCCAGTCTTACCCTCAGGAACCTGTGTGAGGCCTACATCCAGGACAGTGAAGATGCTGAGGAGAGAGCAAGGGAGCTGAGTGACAACCAGGAGATGTGCCTTTACCACGGGGAGAAGTTAAAACTGTTTTGTCTCGTGGACAAAGTGCCTATTTGTGTCGTCTGTCACACCTCAAGGAAGCACAAGCAACATGACTGCTGCCCTGTGAGCGAGGCCATCACCGATGTCAAGGTAAATCTCTCTGCTTCCTTATCTTTTCAGGGTGCACACTTTCTATTTGTAGTTTTGTTAACATTGCTGTACAAGGTTTGTAAAGTCAAATAATAATAATAAAAAGCTTCAATTAAAATCAGGATTAATTAAAAGGACAGGATTATCTTAGAGTTACTATGAATTATTCCATTCTCCTTTTTAGACATCATTCATATTGACCAGTCACTGCAATGGTGAATTATTTTGTTTTGAATAGCTGTTCCTCTAACATTGTTCCTCTTCAAAGGATACAATGAAGTCCACCCTGGAGTCATTGCTCGAGAAGAGGAGTAGGTTTGAACACATGAAGAAGGTCTACGAGGACAGTGAGACACATATACAGGTATAGGAATTTTGCTAAAGGCTTTTTACTCTCAGCGAGCCACTTGTCAGTGAGCGTATCGTGTGATGTTCCAGTTTCAGGCACAACTGGTGGAGAGAAGAACACGCGAGGAGTTTCAAGTCCTGCAGAGTTTTTTGGAGGCGGAGGAGGCAGTGAGGGTAGAATCTGTGAGGAGAGAACAAGAGCACAAGACTCAAGCCATGAGGGAAAAAGCAACAGAAATGTCCAGAAACATACAGGCAATATCTGAGAGTATCAGATCCCTGGAGCAGCAGATGGCTTTGGATAACCTATCCATTCTTAATGTATGTTTGACAGTATTGTTTGCAGCATACAAAAGGTATTTATACATTTGTTTGTTTATTATTTTGTTTTTCAGAATTCCAGAAGTACTCTTGAAAGGTAAAGAGCTGATATCCAGATTTACATACCCTAAAGTCAGCATATTACAATGACTTCCTCCCTTTTTTCCTTTATACTTTTGAGAGGCATTAATCCTATAAGCGCCATTGTTTTCTCAGATGTGAACTTTCCTAAAGGTAATTCCCTTAACTGAGCTACTAACTAAAAAGTTGTGCTCAACAATAAATATATTAAAGATAAAAAACCATATTAAAGAAATGTTGGAAAATTTACACAATTGACATGTTGGCGACTAAAAGGTTAATTATTATCAATGGTAATATGTGATTTGCCTGAATCTAAAAGTAATTTTTATAATATTTTATCATGAGACTATCTTACATGAAATTTACAATTGCAACATTTGAACCATTATTAATGATGATTGTTTCCTTGCAGAGCCACCATTCCTTATGAGGACTCGTGTATGGCCCCAAGAGCACTCTTAGATGTGGCAAATTACATGGGCTCCCTGAAATATCACATATGGAAGAAGATGAGTGAAATCATTGACTACAGTATGTATAATAATTTCCCATGTAATGTTTGTAATATGTATAAGCCGCTGGAGTACCTATCTTTAAAGTAATCAAATCCAATCCTAGCTCTCAAAAATGCTAGGTTCAATCTCTCATTTGCTCATTGTGACAAAAAGAGTACCAGTCCTCACTCAGCCAATCAGCTCTCAGTATATAAAAGATTAGATGTTTACTGATAAGATAAAGACAGCTTGTTGTGTTCTGATTCGTTCTCAAAATGTTATTTAAATGGGGCAACAGTGCCTCAGTTGGTAGAACTTGGTAGGTCTTCAGGTTTGGTGATTGTGGGTTCAATTCCCCTACGAAACCTACTCCCATCTGCTCCCACTGACATCTGCTGTCGTTGTGACCCCGGGCAACACACTTAACCCCACTTTGCCTGAAGCCCCCGCCGAAAGATCAAGGCTGTGTCGCAATGGTGAAAAAAATTATTGGTGGCAGCTTCGGTTGCTAACCCCCTAAAGCCTGAAATGATTGAATAAAGGGGATGATAATGAATGAATGAATGAATATTACTAAAACAATACCTTTTCTGTTCTAAACCAAATGTATTAATGAAACAAAAAGTTAGGTATTCCAGCTTTAAAGAGTAAACTAATCCAGTACCGGTAGTGTCTGGATTAGCTTACTGTCTTGATGTTGATAATTGACGTGGTCCTAGCATGTGCCTCAGTGTCCTGACAGACTGCTGTGTTCCCATCAGCCCCGGTGACCCTGGACCCCAACACTGCGGCTCCCTGGCTCATATTGTCAGACGACCTCACCAGTGTGCATGACAGCGACAACAAACAGCATCTCCCTGACAACCCGGAGCGCTTCGACCCTGACTCCGGGGTCCTGGGCTCCGTGGGTCTCACCACAGGCCAGCACGTGTGGGACGTCAGCGTGGGCACCAACACGGCATGGGTGGTGGGCATCGCCAAGCAGTCGGTCCAGAGGAAAGAGAAAGTATCGTCTGTGCTGAAGAACGGTTACATGTCCGTGTATTTCTATCACAAAATGTACTTTGCCGGGACCTGCCCTCTAACAAGGCTCAACCTAAAAAGAAATCTGGAAAGAATAAGAGTGCTGTTAGATTGTGATAAAGGGAGAGTGTCTTTCTTCGACCCACACGACAACACTCAAATCTACACATTCAAGCAGGCCATCACTGAAACGGTTTATCCATACTTTTGGGTGGGCTGCCAGCAATGTCCTTTAAAGGTGGAACCTGTGTGTGTTTCTGTCAAAATCCAAGAGCAATATCCTAAAGTGTGAGGTTTACACAAGTTTTGGTGTGAGTGTAATGTTGTCAGGAAAACAAAAAAGTTTTATTGTGTTCTATTTATTGTATGTTGTATTATCATGCTTTATTCCTGGGATGCACTTTCGACGGATATGGTTATGGTGATGGTGAATTTAATGATTTAACAATATCAAGGTATATTAATGGATTATAGCTACTGTATATCATATTATTATTATTATGTTATTATTGAACTGGAGCTGTTTTACAACATTATGAGTAAACTTACATTGTAATACTCTCATGTTTCTACCCATTGCAAAACTGGCACTCAGACCCAGCAGAATTTAACTTAAGCAGTCATGAACAGTCATTAAAAAGATTTTACTGACTTTGTTTTGCTCATTTGCTCACATTTTTGCTCTTCTGTGGGGAAAAAAATCAAAAACAAGCAGAAAATTGACCCATTGAATGATGAATATATCTTGATTTAATTCCTGTACAAATATTCTGTTAACATATTTAATGTATGTTCAATTCATAGTTTTTTTGTATTTTAACATAGACATAATTTAAGGTTGCTTATTCAGCTTCACAAACATGAAACTACTCACTTTTACATGAGATAAAGACATTTGTACATCTGTGCAAATCAGCATTTTTCTCACAATAGCATACGTTACCAATTTTAAAAGTCCATATAAAACACAAATAGTATATCTTGGTTATCCACATCACACACAGGTCAAATAGGCAGCAAATTAAAACTCAGACAAGATAAATGGCAAAAAAAGTAACAACAAGGCAGGTACATTCTTAACAACACATTATCATTAATACAAAGTTGAGTTTTGGTTTTCAGTACAAAATGTTGATTTTGATATCAGTAACATAATTAAAAGGTTAACCCATGCTTAGCCTACAGAAGAATTGACATTAGTGTATAATATGAAACATCCAGCTCACAGCATAAACTACCAGTCGAACAATAATTGAGCAGAAGACTCATCATTTACCAATCATGTGTATAGATAGATACTTTATTGATCCCCGTAGGAGAAAAACAGGTGTCCAGCAGCAGAAGACTCATACAGGTCTGTTGTACATTATATATATATTATATATATATATATATATATATATATATATATATATATATATATATACTGCATATATATGGCTGTATATACAGTATATATGGCTTGATATATGCTGGACACCTGATTTTTTCCTTTGAGGGATCAATAAAGTATCTATCGATACACATGATTGGTACTTTGCAGCAGAGGATAAATGCTGGGTTTTTTCCCTTGCACATTTCATAAAAGGAATTTTAAAATATATGTAGACCAACACATATCAAAGATACAGTATCTCAGTAAAACTTTGTGACTGTCCAACACTCATCCTTGTATGTGACAAGTTGAGTTAATTTATTCACACGCTAACTTACTGTCAAAGCTGGACAGGCCAATGGCAAAGGCTTGAAGAGCACACATAGGGTAATTGTAGTCCAGGGTGAAAATGTCCTCGGCTACTCTGCCAAACTGCATAACAATGTAATCCGCTACAGAGAGAGAGTGAAAGTGTATGAAACATTGCTAAACAAACCAGTGAAAATATAATTACTATATGTTGAATAAAAGGCAGCACTTACGGTCATTATCGTGAACGATCTGGAAGTTCTTAACAGACGCTTGAGTGACTCGGCCGTGGAAGTTCAGCACGTATGACTGAGTGTCGTCATTCCACACTGGGGCTTTGTTGTGCAGCTCTATGAGATTTTCTACTGAGTGGTTTTGCCATCGGCTCAGGAGACTCTCTTGCTCCTGTCAGAGATATATTGGAACAATTACACAAAAACATTTGACACAATTCCTTTTTTTATGTTTTATTTTTAGTTCAAACTTACACTTTGAGGCCTCACTGGGACTCGTTCAAAGTTCATATTCATGCCTGGAAGCATTACAGTCATCTTGCGAGGCCCTTTAAATCCTAGTACATTGGTTTCCTGTCAAAAGTATTACAGAATAATTACCTGATTCAAGAATTGATTATTTATTGTCATTGTCACAGAAACAACAATATTACATTTTGAGCATCATCGTGATAATAGAGCGTATAAAGTGCAGGATGTAAACAGCACAGGGCTATAGGAGGTAGATTAGCAGAACAGTAACAGGGTGTAAGTGAGTATGTTAGCTGCACGACCAGTTCACAGTTATGGCAGGTATGTAAAAGTGGCGGTGAGGAGGGGGACAGTGTTCGTTGAGCAGTCTGCTGACACAAATAATAATAATAATAATAATACATCAAACCTATATAGCGCTTTTTTGGACACTCAAAGACGCTTTACAAAACATCTAAAATAAACATAGAAGAGAAAAAAATTGTATTGTTTGAGAAGTGATTAGAAGTAGTGAGTTCTGATAGGTTGAGGGTGTGAGTTCCAGAGAGTGGGGGCAGCTGCAGCAAAGGCTCGGTTAACAAAGTTAATTCAGCACTCTTACTTACATAACATATAGCAGCCAGTTCTTGCCGTTTGTTGCTCTCTTCCAAAAGTGTTCCAGGCGTTTTGCAAGGATTTGTCCCATTGTCATAAACAGTGAATTTAGTTCCCATAAGGTTTGACCTGACACAACAACATGATACATTTTCAACAGATACAGCTCAAAGCAATTAGAAATATAGCAAAGACAAGTACCTCAGTTTTCCAATGAAGCTCTCTCCCTCACGAGATAAGTCTGTTGGATCCACAGAGATAAGGTAGTTGGATGTCTTACTCTTCTTTCTCTTCCTCCCTGCGAGTAGAAAAATCTGAACAGAACATATGCTTTAGTTGAATTAATGACACTAGAAGGAAATGCATGTAGAAAACAATGTTAATAATCGACTTACTTTTTTACCATCTTCTCGCTCCATGTGCATGAAGTAAGTGGGGTACAGGCCTCGGTCCATGCCTTTTTTATCTCGTGAGATTCTGCATTTCACTGTGGTCCTTCGAGGTGCGGGACTCAACACAAACTCCTCTATATTTCCCACTTCCATTGCAGAGTAGTCTGATACGGGAGATCCAGGGCTTCCAAGCTCCTGTGTAAAGAAAGTGGATTAATCAAACCAATTCTGTAACAATTGTTTTATTTTTTAGCACTATTCTACTCACTGGGATGTCCTTGCTACTAGCAGCAGACGCAGGCCTGTTAGTTTCTGCTTGTGGCGACAAAGAATGTGTCTGTCCGTCCTCTTGATCGTCCTCATGCTCACTGGCTTCATCAAAGTTCATAGTGTCAGACAGCCCTGTGAGCCACAACATGAATTTAGAACACATTGTGAGTTTTGGCAAGTTGGAAATCACAACTGAAAACCATACAGACACAGTATATTCACAACAATAATGCCAAATGGAAGAAGGCAACATCAATCAGATGCGAATATTTGAACTCGTAACAATAATACGATGATTAAACTGTAAACCAGAGGTAAAGTCGATAAAGATAAACCATATATAAAAGAATATATTATCTATGCCAGGGGTTTTTAATATTTACAAAATTATGCATGAACTCAAGCCTCCCCACTGTTAATGTAAATAAGTAAACATTTGAAGTGCCAAAGCATGCAAAGAAAACAATCTATTGTAGTGTTGTTTATTTGAGTCATTGACTTGATTGCCCCCAGCCCACTGTCTCATGCCCCCAAGAGAGGCCCGTCCCCCACTTTGAGAACCATTGAACTATAGAATATGTCAAAATGAATGTGTTAACAATAGGCAATTTAGTACAAAAGTGTCTGCCTGTAAGCTGTTTCTTAGTGCTGTGCTGTAACTTTGAACAGACCTTGTTTCTTTAGAAGTTCTTGGATATTTGTCTTAGGCTCCAGGAGACTTTCTGTGTCCCCATCTCCGGCCAGATCATTTGTTGCAGTCGTCTGGGGCTGACAATGTGGCTCAGGCTGGTGATATGACTGGCCCACTGACACTATCTGGATTGTTCTTCCATCTTCAGTTGTTTCTGAACTCAAAATGGCAGCGGGTCCATCTATACCTACAACAGCAACGTTTATTAGCTGGAATATTTCTTCTCCTTCCTAATACAAATACTTATTACATTAACATAGCATAACATTGTATTTTATGTTAGATTGTAAGCTTTATAGTTCCTGCATTACCATCAACAACGGCATCACTGATTTTACTCTGATGGGACTCGACCAAAGGAGCCTGCTCTTCCCCTCTGCGCACCCTGGTTCGGCGAGGCCTGGCTTCTGTGTTGGGCTGAACCATGAGGGGCTCTTGGCGCTTTCGTCTCTGCTTTTGTTCCAGTAGAGCTCTCTGAGGACACAATAATATTCAACCAATCAACTTTACATGCATATATAAAACTGTTTTCTTCAGGTGGGCTTTTGAGATCACTTTTTACACCACTTGTTGGGGCTGACACAGGACTAACAAAGTAGTCGTGAGCTGCATCCAGAGCACCAGCCCCTCACTGATCCTTCAGCAGGTGCCTTACTCTTTCAGTTAGGGCTTCAGGCAAAGTGGGGTTAAGTGTCTTGCCCAAGGACACGACAACAGCAGTCATCAGTGGGAGTCGTGAAGTAGGTCTTGTGGGCTCGAACCCATGACCTTCAGGCTCAAACGCCAATGCTCTACCAACTGAGCCACTGCCGCCTAGACTATGTACAGATAAATTTAGCCAAAAGAAAGTTGGTATGTTATCTGATGGAATTGATCTATCTAGACACATGGGCAGAATGGTAGAATAGTAGTTTTCAAACGTGTACAAAAAACAATAAAGATGACACAAAAAATATGAATTGCAAAAGACACATCTACAGACATAATACCTGACCGTATTAATAGTAAGTAGTAAGTAAGGATTATTTATATAGCGCATTTTACAGACCAAGGTCACCCAAAGCGCTGTCTGTTGGTGTGTGTGGTCTCTTTCCTCTTCTGCAAGAACAACACGCTTGTGTGACCCTGATGCTGATTAGCAGGTGTCTGGAGCGTCATCCACCTGGGAGGTGCGTCCTACTTAACCTGCTGGAGTTGTTCATTTGGTTTCATCTACTTTCTTTGTTCTGTTACTTGCTTACTTTAGGTTATTTATTTACTTTGTAGTATTGTAATTACTATACTATTTTGTTATTACTTTTTGAATGTAAATTTTAAAAAATTAAATGAGCACTTTATTGTTCCCGTAGGGAAATTTGTCTTCTGCATTTGACCCATCCTGATGCCACTAAGGCTTACGTCAGGAGCAGTGGTCGCCATAGCACAGGGCCCGGGAACCCACCTCCAGATGTTACTGCTCGGCTTGATCAGGACTACCAAAGCTAAAGGATTTACCTATTTAGCATAATATTAGTGGTAGGGGAAACTGGAGCACCCAGAGGAAACCTACACAGACACGGGGAGAACATGCAAACTCCACTCAAAAAGGCCCTGTTCCGACCAGAAATTTGAACTCAGGACCTTGCTGAGAGGCCGCTGTACTTTTAAATCATTATTTTAGTAATAACAGAATTTTAATCAGTGATCATCATTTTTCCCCACCAAGGGATGAATAAAGGTTTATCTTATCTTATCACTACTTTCTACTAATGAGGTGCAGATTTCAACAAGAAGGCAACAGTCAATTCAAGAGTCTACTATAACTCTACGTATTCAACACATTCAAGTATTTATGCTTCTCTTACCTGTTTTTCCAGTTTCTGCTGCATAAGACTGGAATTGTCATCTTCAATTCCACTGTAAAGAAATGTCAGACATTTTGTCAGTAAAAAGATATACATAATATGAAATATAAATAAATACTAATATATATATATATATATATATATAGCTGGTTGGGTGCAGTCCCCAGAAGCTTATGGCAGGCATCATTGCAGCTAAGATAAGTGGGCACATGGAACAATTAATGACTACAGCACAGACGGGCACTGGTAGAGATACCAGAGGAGCCAAACACCAGCTCCTGGTTGACAGAACAGTTGCCCCAGAAAAACTACCGGTAATGACAAACCAACCTGTGCACAGCCTGGATTGATTACCAGAAAGCCTACACCTCAATGCCACACACATGGATCATGGAATGCTTGAAGTGGTACAATATCAACAGGGCTCTTATCAAGGGACTTTGTTGCAAACTCAATGAAGAAGAGGCTATTGAAGCCAATGGCAAGCCCCTTGCACAAGTGACCATAAAATGTGGCATGTACAACGGAGATGATCTGCCCCCAGTTCTATTCTGCTTATGTCTGAACCAAAATAATTGACCAGACTGGCTATGTATACCGTCTCAGGAACGAAGCAAAGATCAGTCACCTCCTCTACATGGATGACATCAAGCTGTACGTCAAGAGCAAAAGAGACATTGACTCTCGGGAAAATAATGCTATACTATTATTAAATGTAAAAAGTAAATTTTGTCTCCTTAGAAGGTTCTTTTAGCAATACAAAAATGTAAAGAAGCTAGTACTGCTTAATTACCTGACATGATGAGCACCACCACAAAAACATAAAATGAATAGCTGGCATTTATCCCAGCATGTGTGACTGAATGAACCACTGGCCACAAATTAAAAGTTTTTATTTTTATTAGCATATTCTCATTTATGTGAGATTAAAGCACAACAGCCAATCTCTTAAAGGCTAACCTTATCTGATATAAAAAGCTCTAATCCTTACACCCCTAGTGTTTTTAAAGCCTGAATGTGCACTGCAGGTAATGACATGATTGTTATGGACCTCAACAAATTGCTGTCATGGAGCCTTTAAGGGCAGCTGGGGACTGCCTCGGATAACAAATGTACCACAATAATACATTTTGTCAGAGTAGGTTTGCACATCAATAGCACACTAACTCTCACTTGTGTGGGCAAATAGTAAGCTATTCTGAAGATAAAAAAGCCACTTAAGAATGGGGACGGACTAAAATAGGACATTCAGAATTGTATATCCTAAAATCGAGTTGAACAACATGACCTTAAGAAGCCCCTTTTATTTTCGTTGTGTACATTGTATAGAATTGTGTATTGGTTTTACCTCGTCAATGAATTAGAAGAGAAGCTCGCCGAGCTGGAGAGTCTTATGAGAAAATAGCAAATTGGCACCATTGCAACCAAAGACACAAAACATGTAAAGACACAAAACAACTATAGATTAGATCCAGGTCAAACAGTTCATAAAAATGTAATTTTAAGCCTAAACTCATTAACATAAACTAAGTGTATGCAGACCAGTAGTTCCCATGTTTGTTGGATTGGTATATATTACTTGTGAAATAATGTTTTGCTCTTATAAAACATGTTTGTTTCAAAATATATTACTATGTAAGTTCGACGGGGATGGGGGGGGTTGTGCTGTTGAGGTGGGTAAAACTGCAGACACACATGTACACTCACGTGTATACACACACACATACGCGCACAGATGTATGTCTCCCTCATCACTGCTGTCAGTGATCAATGTTTCATTAGTCCATTGCAGCTTGGGTGACAAGAGGAGGACATGGTGCTGTTATCCCCTCCTGTTTGTCAGTCTGTATCCATGGAGACTTCAACAGCTCACCTCCAGCAGCATTGATTAAAACTGTTTTCTCGCGTCATTGTAATTCGGTGGATGAGCAAAATGTATGGTCCGGTAATGAACCTGAACCATGTATTACCAATAAAAAAAATCTAAAACTTCAAATAAAAAACTCAAAGTATCTTGATTAAGATGAATAAAATAATATTATTTTATAAATAGTTACTTAGGAACTTTGACTAAACTAGTGCAAATCATCATTTGTATAATAATTGTGAATGCTTTAAATACAACTTAACTATAAAATAAATGTAGGACTTTAATGAATGCTAATGTGTCATATGTTACTTGCAAGATCCTGCAGGGTCTCTGGACTAATTCTTATGGAATCAATGACAAAAGCAGTGAAGTTAGTGGGGGTAACACTCATTGGTCAAGTGGACACAAGCGGTTTTCTTCAGATGCAACAAGCAGCAATGAACTGAATTGAGCAACTGGTGGAATATTGGTGGTTTCACAACACCCCCCCCCCCCCCACACACGCACACAGTTTGGATCACTTAAAGTAAACTCTAGTTCTGTTACAGTGGACTCTCTTGGGACTAATATCATATTAATTAATAACACTAATAACATAACATAATAACATTAATAACACTGTGGGTTATTAAACATTTGTTTTTCTAATGTATGGATTATGAATTAGCAGTTTTTTTTAGTATACATCAGACCCAATCCTGCAACACTAACTGAACGGAATAAAACTGTGTAGGCAACTTTGGTTACTACTTGATCTTGAGCCTTGAATAAGTAACAACATTTTGCAGAAAGGAAAACAAAGAGACACATAATCTGCTTGTTTTTTTCCAATGTCTTACAGACACAGTGAAAGATAGAACAAAAGTTGGTTAAAAAAAACATACTGTTTTTGATCAAAAATACCATTAAATGATATTGGAGCTATACCTGTATGACCAGCGACTGTAGACAGGCTGACATCCCCCATTCGTTACTGTATCCATTATAAACTCCAGAAATGATACTGTCCAGGGTGTTAAAACAACATTCTGAATTTATGACTGAGACTTTAAGACCTGCTGCGTCGAAGATATCACCTTTAGTCTCTGAGAAAGAGCAGCTCTGTCCCACCCAGGGGAGTGACATAAGGCAGGCTGAGGTCTTGGAGCAGATTGTAGTCTGCACTTTAAGACATTATATGACCTTTAAGTACAGACATTTAAGAGCACTTCAATATTTTATAGCACATTCAATTACAGGTATACATTTTATAATTGACTCAAATCAATATAGTCCTAATACGAAATATTTTTTACAGAGTGCTGAAAGGACTCTTGTTGCTAAGAGACCATAGGATAAAGTGAAAATATATATGAAAACCAGAAGAGACACTTTCTTTGTGTTTGTTCTACACAACAGATGTATAAATAATATATAGATGTCATCATCAGCAGATAAGGTGGAGAAATGCTCACCAGTGGGAGTAATTACTGAGCTGAAAACAAAACAAGGACATTAGCTACAAGAGCAAGAGCACATTCCCTTGTGATCATGACACACCATGACACAGGTTTGGAATGGCTTTTAAAAATATTAGTCAAATAGTGGGTAGGCAATTGATGATAAAACAAGCCATGTCACGGTTTATCTTTGTAGCCAATTAATCTATGTATTCTCCAGATAAACGCTAGTACAAAATAGGAAAGCTTGGGCTCCACTTTGATTTAAGAAAGTAAAGACCCCTGCCCTTTGCTTTGGTCCATCGAATGGTGCAATATCACATCCAGCACTGTCCGCACCTGTTTATGACCCAAAGACTGGACAGGAAAAGAAAACACTTGAGGATTGAGGATAAAAATAACGCTGTCATTCAGATTTCAACCCATGCAGACTGCATTAACACAACATATAATGAAAGTTGTTTAATTCATACATAAGACAATTTGGATCGATCCACATACAATATATTAAGGCATCATTTCGCCATTGCTTGTATCCTTTGAATCATCCAGGATTCCAGGTAGACGTATTATAGTGGTTATGGTTTTGTCTTGACTAGCAATGCCGCGATAAATACAGTATAGCGTTAGGTTAGTTTTCAATTGGCTAGCAACTGATATGCTTTGTCCACTTTGCTGCTAGTGTAAAAATCATAGGTAATAGTGTTGTTTTGTTCTTAACAGATAAACTCGCCCGCCTATTCACACATATCGCAATGTTATGGCCATCGCATTACATTACATTGCATTACATTACATTACATTATATTACATTACATTACATAGGCGCTAACGTTAACAACGCTAGCTTATCCGTCCACAGCGTTTTGTATGCAGTGGCCCCTCTAAAAGTTGTAGGCGTACCCCGAGTGTCGGACAAAAACGCAGCTCATAATTCTACTCTTTTCCCGTTTGTAGAAGACAGACATGTTCCCCCGTGTCCGATAAAGACGGATGCTTCTTACCTGATGCTGTAGTAACTCATGTTTGGCCTGGCCGCGCGGCGGTTGCTATGGACGTTTCGCGTGTATACGGTTCACTCACTTTAGGAAAGAACCCGATCCTTTCCCCTTAGTTACCAAACGCGTGAATAACGAGAGATCCCATTGGTTGCTACCGTATCTAGGCTTCCGGTGATTGGTTGAATTGGTGAGGATGGAAAGTGAGGTTCATAAGAGATATTTTGAGGACAAGACACGTTGTCGTCAATGAATGAATGAATGAATGATACCTTTATTAGTCCAAGAATGAGGGATTTTTGACAATTACTGTTCTATTTACGTCTTTATTATTGATTGCAACGTAAACAGGAACAGATCCACTACTGAGGCAAAGAGACCTCTTTATAGTCCTGAAGAAATAAAGAATTGTATATTAATAATCATAAATAGCAATAATTAATTATCGAACCCACACCAGTGTTTAATAGAATAGAATGTCTCTTGGGAAGTTTCCGTCTTTTGAATGTGTGTCTTTTAAAATACAACAAAAACAATCTCCTCCAATACTTTTTGTTGTCCTATACAAGCCACCGCAGTCATGTCACAGTTTTATTGATAATTTTACAGAGTTGCTTTCAGTTGTATGCACAGATTTTGATAGTTTAGTTATTACAGGTGATTTTAATATTCATGTGGATAATGTTGATGACAGAAATGCTAAAGAGCTGAGTTCTGTTCTTGAATCTTTTGGTCTCACTCAGCATGTGAGTGGCCCCACCCACAGCAGAGGGCACACTCTAGACCTGTTAGTTACAAAGGGGGTGATTATTTCAAATGTAAACGTGGTCGATGTTGCGCTTTCGGATCATTTTTGTATATTTTTTGACATGTGTTTCACTAACAAACCACCAGTGGACTCTGCAACTGTACGAAGAAGACACATAAATGAAAATACGGGTGAACTATTTATGGGAATGATAAACTTTGAGAATGCATCGTATTCTACTATAGATGAACTGTTTAACTCTGTCACCTCTAGTGTTTTGAAAGTTCTGGACACCATCGCTCCTGTGAAGGTTAAAATAGTGAAAAATAAGCAGAAGGCGCCGTGGGCTAAAGCAGACTCGGTCAGGGCACAAAAGAGAGAGTGCCGGAGGGCCGAGCGGAAGTGGCGCAAGTCCAACCTCCAGGTTGATTACAAGATCTTCAAAGATAAGTTGTGCGAGTTTAACCAGGTGCTACGTAGTACGAGAGAAAGGTATTTTTCTGAAATGATTGAAGGCTGCAGCAACAATCTGCGTGTTCTGTTTTCAACAGTTAATAGATTAACAAACCCCCCTGTTCAGATGCCATTAGAGCTAACTTCCAAACGTAAATGTAATGAGTTTGCACATTTTTTCAATGACAAGGTTCAAGGCATCAAAAACGCCATTGTCTCCAATCCACAGATAACAATCCAACAGCCAGAAAGGCTCTTTGAGCTAACTTACTTTGCACCTGTAAATGATCAAACTGTCCAAGAGATAATCTCCAGTTTGAGCTCCTCCACATGCAGCTTGGATGTACTACCCACTAGATTTCTAAAGTCTGTTCTGAGCAGTCTGTTACCTTCACTCACACAGATAGTAAACATGTCCCTTAATTCTGGAATATTCCCAAAGGCCCTGAAAACTGCAGTCATCAGGCCCCTGCTAAAAAAGAGCAGCCTGGATGCTACGGTACTTAACAACTATCGTCCCATCTCAAATCTGCCATTTATGGGGAAAGTCCTTGAAAAAGTTGTCTACCTACAGCTTACTAGATTTCTTATAATCAACAACTCATTTGATATGTTTCAGTCCGGCTTTAGACCCCACCACAGCACTGAGACTGCTCTTGTCAAGGTTACAAATGATATCCGGCTGAACACTGACGCAGGCAAAGTCTCAATCTTAATCTTGTTAGATCTACGTGCTGCCTTTGACACTGTCGACCATGAGATCCTCTTACAGAGACTAGAGGACTGGTTGGCGTCGCTGGCACCGCCCTAAGTTGGTTTAGGTCTTACCTTGAAGACAGGAAGTACTTTGTGGAGATTGGAAACTGTGTCTCAGATCATATGGCCCTGACCTGTGGAGTCCCACAGGGGTCGATCCTGGGACCTCTTCTGTTCAATCTCTACATGCTACCGTTAGGTCAGTTAATACGCAGAAACAAAGTGTCCTATCACAACTATGCAGACGACACTCAGATCTATGTCTCACTGACTGCAGGAGGACATGGACCATTGGACTCACTCCTTCACTGTATCCAACAGTGAGTGGATGCAAAACAACTTCCTTCAGCTAAACGCAGACAAAAGTGAAATGATTGTCTTTTGGTCCCCAGAAACAAAGAGAGAGCGTCATTGCCAGGATCAAAAACATAGTGTCTAAAGCAGACTTGGAGATTCTTATCCATGCATTTGTCTCCAGTAGGTTAGACTACTGCAATGGCCTGCTCACAGGTCTGTCCAAACAGGCTGTAAAACAGCTGCAGTACATTCAAAATGCAGCAGCTCGAGTCCTGACTAGAACCAGGAAGTACGACCACATTAGTCCAGTCCTCAGGTCTCTGCACTGGCTTCCTGTGGCTCAGAGAATAGACTTTAAAACAGCTCTGCTTGTGTACAAGTCTCTCCATGGCCTCGCACCAAAATATATTAGTGACATGTTAGTCCCATATGAACCAGCCCGGACTCTGAGGAGCACAGGGACTGGACTCCTGTTAGTGCCCAGAGTCAGAACTAAACATGGGAGGCTGCTTTTCAGATTCATGCTGCTAAAATCTGGAACAATCTTCCTGAAGATGTGAGACAGGCCTCCTCTCTGACAATGTTTAAAACCAAGTTAAAAACGGTGCTGTTTAGCTGTGCATACAACTGAGGGATTTTATATTTTTATCTTTCGTTTTAATGTTCTGTGATTATTTATGATTTTAATGCTATCTTGTTCAGCACTTTGAGTTGCCTTGTGTATGAATTGTGCTATACAAATAAACTTGCCTTACCTTGCCTTAATAATAATAATAATAATAATGCATCGGTTTTATATAGCGCTTTTCTGGACACTCAAAGGCGCTTTACATACACGGTGGTGATAAACTATTACTGTAGCCACAGCTGCCCTGGGGCACACTGACAGAAGCGAGGCAATCAGTATGTGCCATCAGCCCCTCCGACCACCACCAACCATTCACACACACACCAGACTCATTCTAGGCAATGAAGGGTGAAGTGTCTTGCCTAAGGACACAACGGCAGTTTGGCACTTTACAGCCGCAACCTCCCCACTGTGGCTGGTGTTCCCAGAGGCTAAATTACTTTAAGTAATTGGTTACACATAACTTATTACTTTCTAAAAATTGTATTACATGTAACATTCACCACATGCATCACTCTTGTTGGATCTAAATAATATATGCCTCCATGTTTTAATATCTGAATTGCAGGCACTTTTTAACTGGCTAAGACAGTAGTTCATCACTGCTCCCTGCTGATAAAGGCCTCAGGTTTGTATGCAGCATAATTGTGTGGTTTCATCACTTTCTAGGCTCCTTCGAAATGCTGAGCTATGTAAACACTTTGAATGCAACATTATTGGTGTTGCAAGTAGCTACATTTTCTGATTTTAACTTTAATCTGATTACAAGTCTTCTCAGAGTAATGTTTTAAAATACAAGAACTATGTAGTATGAATTTTCCTTCACAGAACTCAAGTTACCTTAATTTTAAGTAACTAATTATTTGTATCTGAGTCACACCCTACACTGTTTAATATGCATATGAAAATAAATTAAATAAACCAGTTTGTTTTGGAAGGAAATTGCATGTCAACCCCAATATAATAGATCCATGGTCAACCCATACATCTTTTGCAATCTGGTAATAGAGCAGATCAATTACTAAGATAATATTTTATTGTCTCCCACATGATTAATTGGTATTGGCTAAAATACAATAATTGTAAAAACACAAATAGTTGTGATTAATTATCAAAGACCTAATGCAAATAAAGTAATTCAGTATGTAGATCCTCACAGTGTTTTAATTTAAATACGATTAACATCAACAAAAGAAAATGACTTATTTTCTATGAGCCTTGATCAGATATGGATCATTGTTTCAGAGTCTGACAAATGACCTTTCTCTTTCAACAAATCCATTAATCTTCTCCTGCGTCGCCATGTTACCTTAACCCCATAATCAGTTTCTGGTGTGTCAGGAACCAAAATATCCAAAATCTTGCTACTTGATGGAGTACATGATGGTGGAGAACCAAGCAAACGTAGAGTGTGTGTCTCTGGTATATTTGGTGGGATGAGATTTAATCCCATCGATGCGCTCTCAGCATCAACACAGTCCTTGGACGCAAGCAATGATGGCTCCGGAGTAACACAAGATGTTTTCCTTGCATGAGCTGGTGTATTTTGACTTGAGCTTGACACACTCTTTAAGCAACTTCCATTGTGTGCATCATTGGCAACATTTAGATGTGTTTGGAAGCTGGACTCTGGGTGAGGTGAGCCATTCGAAACTGAAGGACAGTGACCTGAAGCTTCCTTTTTTTCATGTTGTTGGATCTGTTGTTTTGATTTTGTTTCAAATGACAACGTTGGGAACTTTCTGCGGTACATACTCCCTTTTCTGGATAGCTGAGTGAAGTGGCTTTGAAGACTTGTGGAGGACTGACATTTTCTTGTTTTTTTGGCTGGAAGTGCAGCAAAAGTTGCATCAATCTGTGGATTAACCTAAAAGATAAATAATGAATCTGTTAGGGTTAAAAGGGTTGAAGACTTTCATGAATCAAAATAAATTAAAAAAGACTTACCCATGTATTTAGAGTTGTTCCGTTTTGCTCGTTTGTTTCTATGAAAAAATCTTTTGGGTTGAGTGCAGCTCTCACTTCAGGTATATGGGATTGGACTCGAGATTCCCCTACAGATCGTTCCAGGAACCGCAGGGGTTGCTTCTCTGTCTTTCTTTTCTTTCTGGGCATTAACACAAATCATGCTTGTAGTATCTGGGAGGAATACATGTTTCAACATTTTATATTATAATACTTGATTTAACTTTATCTTTGCATCATTTGAAATCCGTTTGACAACTTACCACATTTTACGCAATCAAAACTCAATCACACACGATGAAGCTGTGGACGTCACCCAACATACATACGGACTGTTTTGGCGATGAGCAGGCAGTTCTTTCACTACATACTATGCAAGTATAATGTTCTTTATGACAGCGTTTCCTCATGGACGTTTTCCTTTTGTGTTACATCCACATCAATGTTTATTATTCATCCATTTCCCGGTTTGCAATAACACCTAATCTGATTGGTAGAGGCAAAATGATGAAACTACTTTCGATTGGTTCCTGTGAACCACGTGGACAAAGCTCCACCTACAGCGCCAAAATTCAAAAGTTTCAAGATGGTAGGACGGCATGTAAATAATCATGAAAGCGTAATCTTTATACGAATCAACATCAAGTGACAGTAAAGCCTCGTTCAGGTGCCTGCCCTACAGAGACGATAATATGAAGGTTTGGACTAATATCTAATACTTGATCTTCTTCGCTGTTCCGGTAGAAAGGCCATACTTTGACACGCTAATGTTTTCGGAGCTGTGTCGATGACAAAGGCAGGGCTTTTCAAATATAACGTTAGGCTTAAAGTTACATACGAACACTTTGATAATTCACTAAATCCTATGGACAATGAATGCAAAAACTCATGCATTCTGCTAACCGTGAACCAAGGGGCATGTAGCATTTCAGCTACCGAAGTGAAAGCCCTGCTAACAGGACAGACAGTGAGAGCAGACAGAGCAGGGAGACCGCTGCAGGTCTGGTGTTACGTGAACGTTACGACGCCCAGGGTTCTAGGAGCGCAAGTTTCTAAGGAAACACAGAGACAGGGTTTGGTGAGGTCTGCGATTAACATTTGCAAACTCGGCAAAACAACTGTGGGGAACATTTATGTTAATATTAATCTCCTGACTGCCAAGCATCTGTGAAGGGTCTGGCGCATGTTTGACTCCTAGTCTGACAGGTACATACTATGTAACACTGCGTATTGGCGAGACTGTATTTTCTGTTTGAGGCTGTAACAGTTTTTGAACGAGGCCCCACCAAACTTGTTAGCAGACACCATGGCATCGATGTTACAAATGCAGTCATTCTGTTACTGTCTGTTTACTGGGTAGATGACCATTTTTATTTTGTCCTTGTTGCACAGGATTATATGAGTATTGAGAAGCAGTAAACCGATGACAATGAGACGGAGCCCAAGGAGACCCCTGATACTAAAAAGGCGAAAGTTACCTTTCCACAATAATGAACCCGGCCCTAATGCATTGCATTCTGATAAAACAACAACTGATGATGCTTCACCGGCAGCTCCCAATCAGAGCATCCCCGATGGAGTCTGCATTATGGATCACCCTTCGATGACAGGAACGCAGGTGGTGGTTGTCCCAAAGTCTGCAGATCTTCAGAGTGTTATTGGAGTACTTACCGCCAAAGGCAAAGAGTGTGGTGCACAGGGACCAAATAAGTTTATTCTTTTGAATGGGGACAATGGTAACAGCAATGGATCTTTTTCAAATCTCATCTCTGAAAACAAAATATTTTCTTCCAATGGACTGGTTGACAAACGGTTAACTGCCATTAAATCATGTAAATTTCTTCCATTTATTTATTATCATTAACATCTATTTGTACTTATTATTTACTTGTATAACTGTACTTTGTAGATAAAGAGTGTGGCCCTCTCGATGACAGTCTTACAAATATTCAGTGGTTGGGACGGATGAGCACATGTACCGTAGAGCAACATCCAATAAAACCTATTCTTGACAAAGATAAGATGCCAGTTTCCCAGATGTTGCAGGTGACTTTATCATACCTTATTATTTCAAATCTACTCTGGCATCAATTATTTTTTATGTATCTTTTTTTAGAGTTGTAATCCTCAAGGGGATGCAGAAGTGCCACTTAAGCAGCCGCTGTCCGAGCGGCCTCCATATTCGTACATGGCCATGATTCAGTTTGCGATCAACAGCAAAAAGAGCAGGAGAATGACACTTAAAGAGATTTACATGTGGATTGAGGAACATTTCCCATACTTTAGGGAAGTAGCAAAACCTGGTTGGAAGGTAATACAGATTTTTTATTGTGTTTTTACAGAGTTTTTCCTGGAGCTAACTTTTCTTTTTGTAATGCCAGAACTCGATTCGGCACAATCTTTCATTGCATGACATGTTCGTTCGTGAATCATCAGTTGATGGCAAGATTTCTTTTTGGACAATTCGGCCTGAGGCAAACCGATGCCTTACTCTTGATCAAGTCTACAAGGTGAGCACAGCAGAGGCACTGGATAAAATCCCTTCACCCTTCCTGAGTATTTTCTATCAATCTTAATTTTTTTACATTTCTGTTGAGTTGTAATGAACTTTCTCCACAGCCTGATTTTAATCCTATGAAAGTCCCTGGTCCACCAGCAATGCTTTTCTTTCTTAATCAAGTAAGATTTAGCAAGATTTTTATTTATTTATTCACTGTACAGGAATGCCGGGAAATTATATTTTTTCTACTGGTTGCTTTAAAAGTTAATGGACAAATGAGTTCCAATCTTAATCACTGGTGGAATAGAGCCAATTGCTCAGTAATATTGTTTGTCAGCAGTGCATTGTCAAATCATTGTCATTTGATTTTCACTAACAGAAAAGAATGACAAATGAATATCAGAATATCAAGAAAACGCCAATTGGCACAGGTGAGTTAAGTATCATGATACCTTTTTAAGAACGCATCATGCAAAATATGTTTTTTGACTTTTACAAGTGGTACCTCATCAACAACATACTTTCTTGTTCAAACAAACCATTATTCTTGATTATTCATACATTTTCAATTGGAGAAATATTCTCATCATGGGTCTACTAGTAGATGAATACCAATAGTGCATAACAAACTTGTTCTTTTAACTGTTTCTAGAGCGGAAAATGAAGCCTCTTCTTCCCAGAACTGACTCATACTTGGTGCCTATCCAGCTTCCAGTCTCTTCATCAGCGTATATGCCACCTGCACCGTCTTCTCCACATAAACGTAGCATTTCTCGAGGCAGCAAAAAAGTTCGGATTGCTCCAAAGGTATGAATCAACATTGTAATAGTTGTCTAAGTTGGTTACACTGATTATTTAAATCTATATTATATTTTATGTACCTTTTCGGAAGGTACCTCTGGATGTTTTGGCAGTGAATTTGAAAGAAGAAGAAGTGGAAGTTCCAGTCCAAAGCACTGCTTTAAAGGATAGTCCAAAATCTGCTCCAATAGTTCCAAAGCAATCCACCAGCAGCTCTCGACGCAAACAACTCCTCGTGCATTCTCTGGATGAAGAACCTGTTTTGTTGTGCCACAGTAACACCTTTATTGACTCCGGCGTAGTATCGGATTATTCCACTTTCCATGACCTGCCAGATTCTGTTATACATGACCGTGAGAATCAAAGTCCTAACCGAGAACTGTCATTTAAAACACCCATCAAAAGTAATACCCACCTAACCTCTTCCACCCCAAGTAAACCACCCTGTAATATGCCGCCTGAGCAATGGAAGGTGACCCCTGTAGGCAAACGCAGTCAAACTGTGCTGGACTTCAGTCCCATCCGAACTCCTGGAGGACCTGCAGTCACCCCACAACATGATTACACCACATTCAGCTTCAACAGCACGCCGTTTAAAGATCTACCCTTGTTCAACTCCCCAAGAGAGCTTCTCACAGCCACAACATCCAGACAACCGGACTACCCTGAGGGCTGTCCTCGTAGCGGTTGTTCCAGAGAACTGCTCCAGGCAACAGGAGCAGTGCCCACTACCCACTCAGTCACAGAAGGACTGGTTCTCGACACCATGAACGACAGCCTCAGCAAGATCCTTGTGGACATTAGTTTCTCAGGTTTGGATGAAGACGATCTGGGGATGGCAAACATAAGCTGGTCAGAATTCATACCACAATTTAAATAACAATGTTTCTTCGCTCTTTGCATTCATATTTCTCAGATGCAAAACCAAAATGTCACGTTCCACGTGTGTTAATTTCACCAGGTCATATCTTTCTTTTCTTTTGCACATCCAACTTAGAGATGCACCAAAACAAAACTGGCAGCAAATATGGCGCAGACTATGGTAATGTTATCGGAGAGGGTATCGGTTTGATTATTTTGGTCCAACCAATATACTGATTAGGTCTTTTTTAACAAGAATAGTTTTTGCTGATTATCAATGGGAAATTAAAAAGTTAGGTTGGTGCATCCCTAATCAACTAAAGGGTTTTATCTATTTTATTGTATTGATTGTATTGTGTTGTCACCTTAATATCTGTTTTTTTGCAATACTTTCTTGCTTCTTCGTCCAGTATTGATGTATTGCTGACTTTACTGCTAGCTCAGATAAATGCATACATGTATATAATTTGATTTGCACACTTTCATATCTTTATTCTAATTGCTAAGCAAGATGTTTTTTATATATGTTGCAAGTGTTTAGATTAAAACATTTTTAGTGATATAATTAAATGAACAGACAGTACAAAAAAGCACTATAGAAGCAGTAGTATCTAGTTGTGTAATAGTAAAAATTATTTTATTGAAAAACACACACGCACACATTTACATTTGACACTTGCAGTATCACATGGTAATCTTTTACCACGCATTTTTAAGCAACAATCTTCAAGACTTCTTAAATGTGGCCATTGTAATGGTAGCTACAATCATATGTTTGCTTCCAAGAGCCAATTCTGGTGTGGGGCATACTAAGGTGTTGGGTGCTTTGTTTCTGTCAGCAATAAATCCTGGTGCTACTGATTTATAGTTTGCTTATTGTTTTTAGCTTTATTTACTCTAAGGCCACACTGAATCAACAAATCTTGAGTATTTTATTACACATCCATAATTAGACAAAGTTTATTGAATGAATATCCACTTTGTTATAAAGGGTCCACACCTCAAAGAACCTCAGTATGTCTGGACTTCCTGTTGGGCCACTTCAAGGAGAATTTGCAGTTGCTTACTGCAGAGATCTACAACATAAGAAGAATAGTTATGCAGAACTTATAAACATGCCTTTCCTGTTTTAAGAAATTACTTCTTTTTTTTTAATAGTTTGTATTCTTAACTTACTTAAGAGGCGCCTGAATCTCTTGGGCACCCGAGAGGTGTGCACAGTCACATAGTAGACTGGTACTCCGCTCAGAGTCAGGACACAGCTGCCGCCGGTGTACCAGGGGTCAGAGTAAAGAGAGAGCCCCACGATAAAGAAGGACACTACAGTGAAGATGACCACAATGACCATTGGCACCTGTTGAACCAAAGCACAGTGTTAGTTTGCAGTTCCTACTCTACTGAGTTCCTGAGATAAACATGGGCGCACCTTGAAAGGTCTTGGCCTTTCAGGAAAGCGGTATCGGTCTATGAGTAATCCCAGTGTGGCTAATGCGAGGAAGAACCATCGAGGAAACGAAGCAAAGTTGATCAGTTTGTATATCTCTCCATGCATCATCATCAGCACAAGCAAGGGATACTGTAGAACAAATATTCTGTTTACTATTATAACCAGGATATACAGTGCCTTGCGAAAGTATTCGGCCCCCTTGACCCTTTCAACATTTTGCCACATTTCCGGCTGAAGTGTGGCAAAATGTTGAAAGGTTCAAGGGGGCCGAATACTTTCGCAAGGAACTGTAGCTTCCTAGAGGTCTTTGTTGTTTTTAGCTACCAGAAAGAGTACAGCTGGTAAAGGTGTGTGTCTGCGGATGTGGATCATAGAAAATATTGATGGCCAGTGACCATCTCGGGCTCCAACAAAAAACATTCTGCAACACAAACATTTTTCTACAGACACCCACAGTGAGATTTCTTTGCTGTGGCTTGTTTTTCTTTGATCTCTCATACCTGGGCACCCCAAAGAAGCCTCCATTAAGAGCTCCAAGACACGATATTGACACAAGAATGGGGATAACTGAAGACACACCTTGGAGAGCCCGGTTTGCAAATGTCTGAGAAGCCAGATAGGAGAACTTAGCAGCTTAATTCTGATCTTGGCAAGATAAGAGTGACGCCAATACTGACCATAGCTACGGCATCAGACTGGAGCAGCTCTGAAGGACTCATCATAGTGTAGTACGCTACATTCACCAGCAAATAGAAGACCGTCACTGTCACCATAGAGAAGATGACAGCAAGTGGGATATTTCTGACAACAAAATAAAACAGTCAATTCAGTTAATCTGATGTGTTATAAGGCGAGAACTTCTGAATACCTATTTGGGTTGATAATCTCTTCCGTGATATAGTTCAGATAAAACCTGGAAAGTAAACATCACAATAATGAGCAAAAAAGTTTCATTAAAGGTTCATTAAAAAAGTTCATATTACCAGCCTCCAAAGGCATATAAACCATTATAAAAAGCCAATGGTAGTTTGTCCAGTGTTACCGAATTAGCTTCAAATGAATTCTGGAAATGTTCAGTCTTTCCTGGGAAAAAAACAAAACATAATGAAACGTCCACTTACAGGAGCTGGTACGCTATAAGCTGCTACTTTGTTCCACAATCCTTGAACTCTGCAGCCTACAGTGTATATGGCAACGCAACCAATGTGTGTATTATTTATTTTGTTGGAGTACAGGGAGGAATTTGAACACAGATCTCATCAGCTATTGATCTCCAAAGCTGATGACGTTGCACACATTCCTGCTGCCCTGTGAGTTTATGTGAACAGCTAATAAGGAAATACACAAGTTTATTGACTTACTCCCATCTCTGCATGGAGTGAGAGATAAATAAAGATTACTTACTTTCTTACTTTACCTTGTCATTAAATCATGTTGTGACCAGTTAAAACACTTTATCGTCACATTAATGTTACATCACAACATGAAGACCTCACATTCAAGTGCGGCCTATACGTGCTTTCTTATAGCTGAACAGGTTTATAAACAGGTGCACTTTATTATACAGCAAGTACTGCATAATGTTTATTATATTGTTATATTGTTCATAACTGAACCATTATGATTATAAGCAATGAATGAATGTATTGCTAATCTGTACCTTTGGCTAATGCTATGACACCAGGGATGATAATGAGGATTAAAGCAAACATCTTGATAAAGGTTAAGGTCACTTGTGTGCGAGAAGCCACAGTCACACTCCAGCAGTTTACAGCCACAACACATGCTGTAAAACACAGATTCAACACATTTCAGTTTATCGTAGTTTCATGTGATAAACAGCATTACACACATAACAGAACACTCACTCACTCCCAGGATGCCGACCACTTTGATGAGTTCTGAAGGAGCAGCACATGGAGTAAAGAAAGGCTCGACCACATATTTACCAAACGCCAATGCCACGTAGGATGCTACTGCTGGCCTGGAAAAGAATCTTTCATTAATCTTACATAAAGACAATGCAATGCACTAATAACAACTAACATTTCCTTTATCAGACATAACTTGATCTGGCTCCTTCTTTTTTTAGTTAGTACAGTATACATAAAAAAACAGTTGTTGGAAAACAGTGTCAACACAGATATGCTGGAATTTGCACAATAACTCAATTGTATCCATTGTTCAAGGCAGGTAGAAACATGCAAACACATAGTTAAGCAACAGCAAAAAAAAAAGAACTCATCAAGAAAATAATTTAAAAGAGGCTCATGAACTTGCCTGTTTATTGACTGAAAATGTATATCCACAATAATGTGTGTATTCTATATTGTATGACTGCCAGCGGGGTTTATAAAAGTTACTAGAATGAGCAGAAAAATGTGTTTGAACATGTTTTCTAACCTGATGAAAAAGAACTCAGACCAGAGTCTTAAGAAAGCAGGCAGTGGCCCAAGTGTCTCCAGTAAATAAGTGTAATGGCCTCCTGACTTTGAGAAAGTGGTGCCCAGCTCCGCGTAGCACAGTGCCCCTGAGGGAAAACAAACATATTTATTTAGTGGATTTAAATCCAAAAAAGCAAAGTTAATCTAATTAACTGTATCTAACTGTTTAACACTAGGACATCCACCAATATGAAACTACCAGAAACTCCCAGAGCCATCATCTTGACTGCTCCCATTCAAACCAATGGAATTCTGAGAAATTCCCCAAAAAATGTTCAGTTTTTCCCCCAGATTTATTAAAAGTAAGTAATTTATATGTTTATCAGGTTTTGGTTTTGTTTTTACCGTTAATCACTTTTACTAAGTGCCAAAACAGTTTGTTGAAAGGTGCTAACTGCTGACGGCAAACTGTGTTGCTATAGTAACCAGCACTCATTCTTCAAAGATAGAACTACTCAAAAATGATACTATCATTTCTTAAAGATGATGGCAGAAATAAACAATAGAAAAATACAGAAACAAATAAAAAAGTTATGAAGACCAAAAAGGTACCTAAAAGCCGTCATTTTGACTGCATTGGAAGTTATTTATCCTAATAATTCTAAAATTCTATTTTTATTTATTTCTAAATACATGTTGTTCGTCCCAAGAAAAACACTCTTGTTTAAGTTTTTTTTTTTTTTTTCAAAAACAAATCAGATCATAACACGCACTATAATCCAACGAGGTTCATTTAGTCCGACAGTTCATTCTTGATTAAAATAGTCAAGTGATGTTCCGGTGATGTGTTTTAACAACAGCTGTTGAACACGGCGCTGTCTTCCTCCCACGTGGGCTTTTTCACTCTCACACACATGGGATTCTGTCCTGAAAAAGTTGGACTCTAGGTGGCGCCGTCGTCCTGCCTCTGGTGGAAGGAAGACAGCCCCAAAAAAGGTGAAAACATCTGATATGTCACAGGACCATGCGGGACCTCTCCAGCAGTCAAAACTGTCAGGTGTCTTAAAAACCAAGAAAACTAGTAATAAAACCAAACAGATTTTGGTTGTTGCTAATTTCAAAATGAGGTAGTCCAGCTTTAAGACAGCACCATAGACAATGGTAAATGAAATATATCAAGTAGATAAAATAATAATTACAATTTGCCATAGGTTACTATAAATTTTCTTGTATAACAACTACATATATATATATATATATATAACATTTAATCTTTTTGGATGTAGATTGCATCTTACCAAACATGGACAAGACTCCACAGAGAGCCCAGACCACCAGCGACAGCCCTACTGTGCCACTGTTCATCAAAACACCTTTCGGAGCAATGAAGATCCCACTGCCCACCACTGTCCCGACAATGAAGCACACAGCCGGCAGCAGGCCGATCTGGCGATGTAGGTGCACGGCATCTTTGACCTCTTTAGCCTCGTCACTCTGTTTCTTCTTTTGATCTATTCCCATGTTTGTAGTTCCGTTGGAGCCACTGTAATGCAAAAGCTTTCAATAGATCATCATGATTCAGTTCAGTTCATCAGCCATTTGCAGTAAAACTACATTGGAATACATGTGCAAAAGTACCTGCAGTGAACACCAGACAAGTACACAAATGAAACAATGTCATATATATTTTAATCCTTGCGCTGCCCTCAGATAAAAACAATCACTACAGATGATTCAAACCAGAGGATATTAGAGAAGTACTTGAGGGGGCTCAAGTTAGGACAAATCATCAAAATTCAGCTCAAATATTTTTTTAAATTAGTGTAATTTCAAAATCTCTGTGGCAGGTCAATTCGACTCGAGGATAGCACAAGGGTTGAGGTGCATTCCTGAACCGTTCTGGTGGTGGGCCTGCCTTTTCTCATCTAAATGTTGTTGCTTTGCCTGGCTATTTATACAGTTTGTCATTAAACTTCCTTTTCAATCTTCTCACTACAAAGTAAGTACTCAAATAATCCATAATTGTGTATATGATTTAGCATTTACAGCAAACTAAAACATAACTAGCAAGAAGTAGGCACCAAACAACTTCGATAAAGTGGGTCAGCACCAGCACAGTTGAGCAATGCACTTTTAATATATTCAAAGCTCACCTTCAGACTAAAAACAGCCTTGTTCTTGCTTTTCAACAGCAGAATTGTCTTTGGAATTCCTTGTACTGTATGTCCCCTGCCTCACACATATCTGCCCAAGTGCATGGGACATGAAACAGGTCCCCCACTCCTCCCTTCACCCAAACTTTGTGGGGTCCCCTCTTCTCGCTTCATTGGCTCTCACACGGGACACGCCCACATGAAAAAAAAGAATCGTGTTTTTCCAGACCGGTCCTACAAGAGCACGTAATTTATGCATTCATTTAAGTGCCTTTTTCATGTGTATACAGCTGGAACTATTGAGACCAAGAGGCCAGGGTGCACCGGGGTTTTTGTAGACGCAGCTGCAAAGACAGTTGGGGGCCTCTTTTTTTAGTTTGGGCATAAATACACGGCTGTAAAATGTTAGAAAAGTTCTTCAAAAACATCCAAACACGAAACTGCCAGCGAGTGATGTAATGAAGTTATTTTCCTTCACACTTGGCTGCACACTATTGATGTCACTTTGATTCTGTCACTGACAATGTGGCTCATTAACATTCCTTATGCACGCTGTATCCCACTGAGTTTCTTTTGTGAAAACCTATAAGTATATGTAGGCGGTCTATTTTTCTATGTCTATTTTACCTATGATACTGTCTTGACAAATGCTTTAGCACAGTGGCAGTTGCTAGGAGACACCTCCTCCCTGCCCAGAGGATGTGTGCATGTCAATGTGTGTGCTCAGCTCACGTCAGCAAAAAACTGCCTTGAATGAAGAGAATCCGTTTGGTCTTATTTGCAGATTCATGTTTTAACAATTTACTTGTTTTTTTGCATTCATTATTTTTGGGACACTCTAAAATAAAAAAAATTCTTGTTAAACGGGGGTTGTACATGTGATCTCACGTAACATTGATCCTGATGGTTGATGGTGGGTGAATCACATTGAGCACTTGTCAGATCTGGGAATTAACCAATAACCCTCATTTCCTTTTGACAGACAAACTATAGTTGTCCATTTACCCTTTCCTGCTACAGAATCTTGGCTGCTGGTTCAAACCAGGTGATACATACTAGAGCTGTGTCTCTAGTATGTATCACCCTCATTAGTATAAAACAATCAATTAATCAATTAAGATGTTCATTTATAACACAAATCCACTGAGCAAATTGAAATACATTTGTCATGAATGTCTTGAAAAAGATTTGGACGAAGCAGATGCTTATAAAATTCCATCCCCTCTCACTCTCAAACAGTCAAGATTTGGAACAAAATTGTTCAAAAACAATACCAAAAACAACAGTAGAAAAGTACCAGTTTGTGTATAAACAACAGGCCTGTAACTGTCACAGAAAAAAGGAGAGAAAAAGGGGAAGTACAGTATATGAATACAGAATTAAATAGAATTCTTCAAATGATCAAACACTATCTCAGCTACTACATGTTACAGCTTCCTCCCTTCGGGAGCAGATATCAATCGATTAGATGCAGAATGTCTAGCGTTCTAGACTTGTGCAGTCTGTTCATGTCCAACGTAAAACAACCTTCACAAATGATCTTCCAGATGTCTGCAGTCTCACCTATCTTTCACAGCATTTCACCGCACACACACACACACGCACACACACACGCACACACACACACACACACACACACACACACACACACACACACACACACACACACACACACACACACACACACACACACACACACACACACACACACCTATAGTCTGAGTTTACCTACAAAAAGTCAGTGAACCAGAAAGGGAGGATATGAAACCACTGTTCCAGTGACTTCATGGTGCTATTCATGCATTATTATTATTGCTTATAATATTGCTCAGATGATGATGACCTGGAGCAACAAAACTCAACAAAATAAAAACATATATTCATTTGTCAAATCCGAACGTTTCCTTGTGTGATGTCAGCAGGAGTAATAATAAAGTCCAGGCTGTCAATCAAACATTATTTTGAAATGGCGCCCATTCCAGTAACTTATCTTGCTCTAATTGACTTAGTAAAGGACATTATAAATGGCATTGATAAAAAATAAATCTTATTATTGATCTCTCTTTTTATTGATCTCCAAAAAGCTCTTAATACCATTTGTTGTCATATACTAATAATGGAAAAAAGGGGATTACGAAAGAATTGAAAAAATTCTTTCGTAATCAGTTAAATCAATATATAGAAAATATCAAAACTAATTCAATTCTTACTCTTTGCAGACGACCCTATTTGGCCATGTGTGGATGGTTGGGGGTGATTGGAGGGACTGATGGTTGCCTTGCTTCTGTCTCGGTTCACTCTGCCCCAGGGCATCTGTGACCACCACCGTGTATTGAGTGAAAGAATATTGACATGTGAAGCGTCTTTGAGTGTCGAAAAAGCGCTATATAAAACTGATGCATCATTTTTATTATTATCATTATTATTATTATTGCTTATAATATTGCTCAGATGATGATGACCTGAAGCAACAAAAAGTGAACAATGATTATAAATGGGCATATAGAGAAACAATATTAAATGTGTTCTTAAATCTTCTCAAATTCTTAAAGTTTTCTGGTCTACAATTGTTAGACATTAGGTATCTTTATTTAATAAACCAACATGTATTTGCACAGTCTGAAAAACCATTAAATTGATTAAACTGCTGCTGTTGCAAAAAAAGATCCACAAAACAGTCCATTCTTTGTCTGATATTGAGAGCGGATCTCGAACAGTGGGGTCAGCGATGGCTGATGACTGATGCACAATATCCCATATTCTGTCACAACCTGCAGACAAGCATAATCAAGATTCACATTTTGGAACGAAGCTTCCAGCAAATCAGGCCGGCTTACAAGAAAGACTAAATTATGCACTGCAGTAGCCCCAATAAAAGACCTTGCACCGGAAATGTGGGAGCTCCTATATGTACAGACAAAACAGTCATAAATGATTGCAGGACCATTGTTGATAACACCATTGGACATACTATAGGAAGTGTCTGCAAATTTGTATAAAATCAGACACTGAGTCACAACCATATAATAAACACTCAAATAAACTTCAGGTATTTTTCATTCACTCCATACATAAAAATCCAAACCTTAAATTTAATTTTCACTAAATCAAATGGCCATGGATCCAATGATATTTCAATTTTCAATTATATTTTTGTCCTGAGTGCATCTCAAAAGGGAAATAGTCTATATAACCAGTTGGATGCCATTTGCTGGTTTCTTCTCTCTTGGGACCTACTGTGTATCTTGCTCCTGCCACTCTTTGAATAATTTATCCGGGCTGTCTGTAGAGTTGTATTTAGGGCCAAGAAGACCCCTGCACTTATAAGAGCATTGTTAAGGCAATAAAACATAGACTATGCAGATGTTGAAACTTGAGCTGGCCCTCAGATTATCAAAAATACAAATTGAAGTAGATAGAATAAAAGGAGGTGGGAGTCATGTGCTGTTAATGCAGTGACACAGTGTCCTAAGTGTAGTGAATCACAGGCCCATCGCATCACGACAGGTTACAATACAAAACTCTCTGTCCTTATAAAATCTTTATGGAAGAGCATCAGTCAAAGGTTGTCAGAAGCGTCATGGATCTAAAGAGATAGTAGAAAGGCTATGACATTACATTGAACAAAATGGATATTGAAAGAATGAATAGCCACATGTGACCAGAGATAAATGGTTATTCTAACAGAAAGCATTTGTCTTCTTAGGTCATCATGCTCAAAAAATTTTCATATAAAGAAATGGACCATGTTCTGGCCTTAAAGTGGTTTTGCCCAAGCAGCAGAGCAGAGAGTGTGACCTGAGCGTGACTCATGTTTGTGAGGACACCATCTGTGTCTTCACGCCTTTGCATCCTCTATTTCTGAGACTTATGACACAAACATTGTGTGTTTCATTGGATGGCTCATGGATGATGTATTGCGGGCAATGTGTGGAGCATAGATGGGCTCAGGTCTCCTCTGGATGATAGTGTTTGTGTTTGGCTTGTGCAGTGTCTTTGACCAGGATCATTGAATGCATGCGAGGCAAGAGGAAGCTGCACTGACCGGCTTCATTAGCAGCTGTCTGTCAGATAGGCCCACACACCGCTGGATGGTTGCTTGGCAACTGGGACCTTTCTTGGCCAATCAGGGCCAGCTACAGGAGCTTTCTCCTTGACATATAAAAGAAACACAGCTAGTTCTCTTATTGTGCTTCTGATGATTTCACTTAAGACTCAGCATCCCCAACTGTGATGAGCTTCCCTACACTTTTACATCTTCTGAATTTATATGAGACAACAGAAACAGATTGCACTAGTACAGAAACATCAGTACAGTGGCCTTAGACACTTAGTAGACGTGACCCAGCTGAGCATCCGTATCTGGAA